AGGAGATAAATAAATATGATCATAATGGACACAATGCATTTACAGCCAATAAGGAGAACAATACATAGAAAATGTCGGGAGCAAGAGTAAGATATCAAATCGATTACATATTGGTAAGAAAAGCTATAAATATAGAAATAATATATTGAAAAGCTGTGTGTAAATGATAGCAGACATGTGAAATAAACAGAGACAGTCCATAGACAGAGAAGATGCAGAATAAAAGAATATATAATAACCTATTTTGAAAAAGGAAGTTGAGACAGTAATAAAAGAGCTAAAACACGATAAAGCTACTGATATAGAAAAACATAAATGGAAAAATGTCAATAGCAATGAGAGGCGCAGGAAAAGATATATCATTTATAATTATATATGATACGTATACAAAACGGTTGGTTTTTAAGAATTTCAAAAAGTGTTTGATGATACTATTACCGAAAGGGAAAAATATGATGGTCATAGAACCACGAGCTTAATAACATATGCATAAAAAATATTAGCAAAGATCATAAACAAAATAATAGAAACAAAAATAAATGACTATCTGAAAGAAGATCAATTTGATTTCAGGAAGAATAAGAATACCAAGGAGGCTATACTGTGCTTAAGAATAATCATAAAAAACAGTATTTCCGGAACACTTTCAAAAGTTAATTTTTTGTGAAAAAGTTGTTATTTTGAATCCCCCTCTGTGGGCAGGTAAAGGATCAGATTAAAAAAAAATATATATCAAATGATAGGTAAAGATATCGTGCATCTATAAAAAAAAATTATATTGATTTTGTCATTTTTGAAAATTATGGCAATTTTAAGTAAAAAAAAAAACAGAACAGTGGGTACGTGGCATAGTTGGGTCCAGTAAAGATGATATCTGACAGTGATTAAAATCACTATCAAAAAAACGCTTCGATGAAAATCTGTAGATAGTGTTTAATTTTAAATTAAATAATAATTGGTGAATTATTTCAAAAGCTACATGATCTCCTATTTCCTTATTTATATCCTGATTACAAGTTTTATGAAGCTAAAATGATGAAAATTAGCGATTTTTAAATTTGTAATTTTTTTGGAGATTTCTCCCATTTACGGGGAACGAGGGAAATTTTTTCAATTTTTGAGGTTAACGTCTTTGATTAGATATGATTTGTGATCTTTTGACCTATTTTTGAAAGAAATCGGTTCGAGAAAGCTGAGAAAAAGTGGTAACAGACACAAAAAAAAAAAATTAAAAATTAAAAAAAAAACACATCATTATTCCCATCAGTCAAATTAATACTTTCTCAGTTTTGCATCGACGCCAATATATATAGAGTAAAAAAACCGCTGTACATAGCGTTCATCTACCTAGAAACAACGTTAACTGGGAAAAATTATTCAATATTATGAAAGCCATTAATATTGATATTAAAGACAGAAGAATTATTGATATACTATACTTAAATAAAAACGTTGTCATAATATAAAAATGAAGTAAAAAAAAAAAGAAAATTATATTTAAAATATTATTAATATAAGGATTAAATTAACTAGCTACCTTTTCAAACAGGAGCGACATTTTAATTTTTATTGGTACGCATAGATATCGCAGACACCACAATGTGCAAGGTGGACGGGTTAATTATTAAAAGCTTAAAGGCTAAAAATGATTAAGAATTTTAGGTATACAAATGTTTACTTTGCTTACCGCAAATGTTACCCCGTCTTCAAAAGTCAATCACTGCATAATGTCTGTACTAGATGATCTACAGTAGGTATATCACAGTACATAATATAAGTGACACATTCAATTGAGTGATGTATTTTTAAGATACATTATTTACTATTTATGACACATTCAAAAATAGATTATTAATCAATTATTATTTTTATTTGCAAGTGAGAACTGATTATTAAATATATTATTAAAACCGATATTCTATAACTGTTTTGCTATCATGGTTCAATTAAAATTTAACTACCAATGGGTATTGATACTTAGTGAATTCTGTAAGTAAAAAAATAATCATTGAAACTTACCGAGCGGAAAGACACTTGGCAAAATAATTGTACGTTTGTTGAATGGTCTGTAGATAGAGTGAATAATGACATACAAAATAACGAGCATCAAAAATAACATTTCATCGGATGAATCGCCTAACATAATAGCGTCGATTTTATGAAAAACTGAAAATAATATGAAGAAAAAACGACCCAATGATATAAAACTCGATTCAATGAATACTTCACGTTATTTGCATGATCCCTTTTTCAGTTATTTCTATCTCGTTCTACTCTTCTTTTATAATGTTTAAACGTAAACATAAATACATACAAGTTAATCCATATAATGTTAAAAATATAAGTGTGTTTATAAATACACTTGATGGAGAATTTATCTACTAGAGCATAAATTGTGTAACAAATTATAATTAAAAGCATTTTGTCAGATGATCAAATATAATGGCTGCATGTTTTTGTATATTTCATTAGGTTACATTTAATTACAAAATCTATATATAAGATACAATTGAATTCTATTTAACATATATTATCATATAAAAAAAAATATTAGTTATAATATATTATAATAATTTAGTTAAGATTAAAATAGTTACAACATATTTATATAGTTGGCACAATTATAATAATAATAGGAATGACTAAATAAATTTAGTTGTCTATTTTTTATACTCGTATCAACTATATAAAATCATTTTTTCAACTATATACTTATGTTATTGGTCATTACTGAGGATCCTTAAGTTTCACTAGGTCAGCTGATTTATAATCAAAATTTGATATGATTGGTAATATTTCTTGTTGTATTTAGTATTTAATTAATATTTTAAATATATCTTTACTTTAAAATAATGTTAGCTACATGTAATAAATTTTTATTATACAGTTGTGAGAAATATTCTAACTACTTGTATATAATTTAATAATAAAAAAAGGTAAATAAACTTAAAAAATATATTAAACCCAACCCAACCATTACATTTTTTTATGCATTTTTCGGATACTTTCAACCTTTTTTTTTTAATTGCCAAAAAAAACCATCAACAATAATTATTTTAGATTTGTAAGTAATGCATGTCCTTATAAATTATTTCCAATTATTTAAAGATAATTATTAGAAGTGAAGAGCAAATTAAAGGTCATGGAATTCTTGTGGGGTAAGCGACTTTAAAATCTAAAAAATTGTTGTTATTACTATTATTTTCGACTCTGGGAATCACTGTTGTTAATCTTAATTTAGGTTGTACAAACTAAAGTTATGATATCAAGTAAAATATATACATACATTTTTTTTTACGTGATAGTAACTTTAAGTCTTAAATTGAATTTCGAATTATCAAAAAGCTGGTAAGTTGGTATAGTGTTTGAAAGTGTTAATAAATCTTATAATCGCTTTTAAATCAATTTTTATCCATGATAGATTATGTTTAAAGCTGGTGAAACTTATTAGGATTCTAATATGTCAACCTTTCTGTGCATATACCTGTTAATTCATTTTATTATTAGTTCAATAAACTATTAAAGAGTTAATCAGTTTTTTTTTAGGACACGCTAAAGTTAAGTTTCCTGGTGTAATTTTCTTAAGTGACTCCTACTAACGTTATGATAATCCTAAAATACAATAACAAATAAACTCGTAATAGTAAAATTCATTTATAATTGCATCATAACTTTTTATTTTTATTAAAGGCGCAAAGGAGTTGTCAGAATTGTTTTAAAGAGAATAAATACTTGAGAAAACATTTTACTATCTTTTTAAAATGTTATAAAAATGTTTTATCTCAACGCAATTTTCGTCTGGTAGTCTATATTCTATACCTTTTCATGAAATCTCATTACATGAGTTTATAGATAACTAGATATCTATATATAGAAGCTATAGCCTTCCGAAAAAAAAAATTATTTTATTTAACTTTTTTATTTGTTTGAACTATTTATAAAACTATTAATTGTTATAAATGTCGCTGAATAACTAAATATAAATTACTCCCAAGATATTAGCCGATATCTCTGTTATCGAATAATTTCCAAATATTCGATTCATCGCTAATTTATACTCTTTTTTTTTTTTTCTGCTTTCATATCCTCAGCAATGTTTTGTGTTAATTTTACAATCGATTTGGTCAGTAAATTTAATCTGTTTCTTGCCATTTATTTTCGGACTTAACTAAAACAATAGTTATCAATCCTCCTATTTGTTTCTATACCCACCAATCAATAATTCATGGTTCATAAAAAGATCTTAAATATAGTGCAAATTAAAATAATTTTTCTCGGACTTACTTAAAAGTAGGAAATTGTCTAGTTATATTTTAAATAAGCAGACCATGTTCTCTTTTTCGGTTAGGGCAAATACCAAAATGTTATTTTTAAATCATATCACTACGCAATATTTGATATGAAGTGTCTGTCTGGATAAACTCTCTAAATAAAATAATTGTTCGGAAAAATTAAAAATAATTAATTACATATTAATCACAAGTTTTACAACAGTGTGTAATCATAAGAATGTTTTAGATAGTCAATTTGATGAAAATCGCGCTAGTAAATTATTCTAAAACGATAAGTGGAAAACGGGACGAGAAGTATGTATAATGTCAAAAGACCGCGATGTTCTTCATAATATGGGGTCGGGTCCGTTCAGGGGGCCGGACCATCCAAGTCCCGGCTTGGCCAACCACAGACGGGCATACGACAGGCTGATGAACGAGAGGGTGCGAACCACCGCGAGGTACTCGTTGTAATAATAAACTACGCGCCCACTCCTGCAAACGTCCCTTCGAATAATGTATATTATTATTATTTTATGAACAATAATTTTGCGGTGGAAGAAGGCCGAGGGTTCACCCCACGGTGATGAAAACGTTCTGGCGGAAAATGCCGGTTAACCGCGTCTCGCAGTTGGCTCTAGCAAAATTCCTTAACCACCCTCACCATCTCCCTAAAGCTCTATTAATCACTGTGCCTTTAACGTTTTATCATTGCACCACATTCCCAAGGCCGCAGCCATCACAAATCGGCGTACTCACCGTTTTTCCCTTTATGTTCTGTAACTTATATCTATCACATAAACCGCCGTGAGAATACCGTCATCGTTAAAATATTCAGTTTGTTCGATTCATCAAATTTTTTCAACGAAAAAGTTGCATAAGGTAAAGTTGTTATGGACTGCCCCAAGCCATCGTTCCTAATTAGGGACTTGATTGGAGACGTTTTGCAGACATCCAAGTCGTCGGGTAATTGTTTTTACTCAATAATTAATAATTATGTAGTAAATTATTCAACACTTATCTGAACAAGATATATCGTTTAACATTTTTGTATTTATCTTTTAACGTGAAGATCATTTTATGTAGATTTTTTAATTAGGTGATTTAAATTCAAAGAATATAAGTAATTAATAGTTTATGGTTTTTTAATTATTCGTAATGATTATCATAATTTATGCGGAACATAAAATTATATTAAGAATAAATTATGATAAAATAAAAGTTGTATTTTCAATTAAGGCTAAAGAGAAACAATTTATTAATGGTAATTATTTATGAATTAAATGCAAAACAAACTTTTAAATTATTATATTTAAGGTTTTAAACGTAGAAATACTAAAAAGCATTTTTCTCTTGTTAGTTCTAAATTATAAAATTATTTTTTAAATAATAATTGCCAAAAAATTTAAGTTTTCTATATGGATAAAATTGCAATTAACCGAATTATTTTTGTATTTCATGTTCTTGGCGTCTAAGGTTTTTATTATTCTAATACGTTTTATTTTTCAATTATTTGTAATTTAAATTAATTATTATGATTACATGATAATTTACCGGTACTAAAACTCAGACTTTTTTAAAATAAATGTTATTTATTTTTTTTAAATACAAGGTAACTGCCTGAAACGTTTCAAATGTACCATAAGAAATTAAAATTTTGAAATTGTTAGTATTTTGAACACTACATATTTAAAACGTAACAACGCTGCTAGAATTACGATTGACAAGTTGATCTTTAAAAAAAAAAAAACACATCATAGTAAAACCAATACCTTCTCAGCTTCGCATCGGAGCTAAAATGTAATTTATAAAATCGAGAATTTTCACACAAAAATAGCATTCGGTAGCCATTTTCACCACGAAGACAAGTCCAGAGGTCAAATTTTTTTTTTCAAATTAAAGTATATTACATTAGCTTTAATTTAAGATATATATAAAAGTGTCAGACCTTCCGGAACATTTTCAAAAGTTAAGTTGAAAAAGTTAATTTTTTGTGAAAAAGTTGTCATTTTAAATCCCCCCCTGTGGGCAGGTTAAGTGTCAGATTTACAAAAAAAATATACCAAATGATAGGTAAAGACATCAAGCATCTATATAAAAAAAAATTATATTGATATGTTCATTTTTGAAAAAGTTACGGCAGTTTTTAGTAAAAAAAATTGAAAAAATTTCGAAAATTAGCGATTTTTAAATTTGTAATTTTTTTGGAGGTTTCCCCCATTTACGGGGAACGAGGGAAATTTTTTCAATTTTTAAGGGTAATGTCTTCGACTAGATACGATTTGTGATCTTTTGACGTATCGTTGAAAGAAATCGATCCAATGAGAGCTGAGAAAAAGTGGTAACAGAAACAAAAAAAAAAAAACGCATCATAGTAAAACCAATACCTTCTCAGCTTCGCATCGAAGCTATAAGGCGGCAGTAGTTATACATCACTGAATATTTTTCATTTATATATTTTAATAATCCATTAAAAATGTATTTATATAAACTATAAAATTAATTAATTATAAATATAACATTTTTATATATGCGTAAAAAAATGATTCATAAGCATAATTAATTCTTAAAAAAAAAAAAGCCATGAAATAAATTTTCAATGAATGTTATGTATAATTTAACCGTTTAATTTATAAATAAATTCGTAAAAATTTAAGTGCCTTCGCTATTACAAACAAAAAATACATGTTCTAATAGAAATCGACAAAAAAAAAATCAAAACGATAAGTTAAAATGCAAATTTAATAGAAGAATAACACATTAGAAAATGAACTTTTGGACAAATTGTTTACTTTAAATGTGAATTGATCATTATTTTTGACAAATAATAAGCAAGTAAATTGAGAGGGTTTCAAATCAAAAAATATTTGTCAGTTTCATCTACCCTTTAATTGTTCAATCATTATCGGTTAGAAATGAGGGGAACTCGTGTTGTTTTTAAAGTCTTTTCACATTGCCCAGCATGAGGCTCGCGATCGGATAAAAGGACGCAATTACTACTGTGCAGTGATAATTCAATGGTCCGTCGTGTCGCATGTGGCTGAGACCCTCTTGAACACGTTCGTTTCAACTAAATCCACTTTTAGTGTTTATTTACGGGGGTGAACTAAAGTTAGAATATAAAAAGAACATTTATAGTGTATAACATCACGTCGTTTTCTCAGACTTCTGCATACGGTTTTAAATAATTTACTCAAGTTCAATCTGAAAATGAAGAAAATAAATTAGGAGTATGTTAATATTCAGGTATTTGGGCGCATAACGAAAAGTTTAAAATTTACAATTGAATTTTTACTTTATTTTAGTTAAAAAAAAATCCAAATTCTACTGTACAACGGGCATTCCCAATGTGTTTTTACTCGGCAAAATTTAATTGGAAATTTAAGAAATTGGTAACATTCAGTGAACTAAACTTGGATTCTCGATTCACTAACAATATGTTATGCTTATCACCACCTATGAAACAGAATAATAAGAAATAAATTTATTGCCTAATCAAAACTCAACGAAACAATTTTTTACTCGCATAAGATACAGTGAAGAATTTATAATAAACGGTTTGGTAGAAAAATAGTTATGATCTGGACGATTTGATAATGTGTGGTCAAATTAAATTTTTAGATTTATTTATATAAATATTTATCAAAAATTGTTCACAGGGTATGAAAATTATTTACATAAGTAGTTAATTTATTATTTCACTGTAATTTTAGTTTGAAAAGTCACATTTCCTTTCAGGAAAAAATATTTCGTGTTTTTGTGCTCCTTAAAAATCACTATTATTTGTCTTGACCAACTTTTCACAAAAACTTTTCACAAAAACTGTTCATATATTTTTTTACATAGCATTAACTTCACATTATTTAACTTACATGTGAAACATCGAAGAGATGGTTTGCTTTTGATAAATTTTTATGATTAAATTTGAGCGTGTACCGTGTAATCATACTTATTTAATGATAATATGATTTCCTGATATTACTGAACAATATACATATTTTTATATTCATGTTATTTATTTGAAATCCAATGTTAAAAATATTTTTCTTCGGGACTTTGTGGTAGAAGAAACGATTAAAATATTAATTTGAATTAAAATTTTTAGATTTATCAAGTGACGATAGTACTGTGGACATGGACGATCATACAACGACCGTCAGTAGTTTTGCAGTATTGCCATTGTTGATGCAAAAACATCATCACAGTCATTACCATCAATTTCACCAAGACATGACTAATGGTAATAAATCTTGTGGAAGAAAAGTTCGACGAAGACGAACCGCATTTACACATGCGCAGCTTGCGTTTTTGGAAAGAAAATTCAGATCACAGAAATACTTATCAGTAGCTGATAGGAGTGATGTGGCCGAAATGTTGAATTTATCGGAGACTCAAGTAAAAACATGGTATCAAAATCGAAGGTAACGCCAAAAGAATAATATTTTTTTCGAATATTGTAAAATGTTAATGTACTTTTTAAAGCCATCATAACAGTAGTCACATGAAAAAATACGATTATAAACAAGCTGTTCACATAAAATAAATATAAATATTCTTAATCGTGTAATAAGACACAGTATTTTTAATTTAAGAAACAAATTAATATTCGATAGATAATGAAGCCGTGCTGTGAGTAGGTGAAGATCAGTAGCTTACGATAGATTTTCAATGGCGATCAATGATATCAACCCTATTAATACTCATTAATAAACGTTATTTGCATTCGGTAGGGTCCTCAAGGTATTTCACGGGGGTTATACAATGGAAATATATCAAACCTCCTTGAAAATGTTGACTNTGAAATGTTGAATTTATCGGAGACTCAAGTAAAAACATGGTATCAAAATCGAAGGTAACGCCAAAAGAATAATTTTTTTTTCGAATATTGTAAAATGTTAATGTACTTTTTAAAGCCATCATAACAGTAGTTACATGAAAAAATACGATTATAAACAAGCTGTTCACATAAAATAAATATAAATATTCTTAATCGTGTAATAAGACACAGTATTTTTAATTTAAGAAACAAATTAATATTCGATAGATAATGAAGCCGTGCTGTGAGTAGGTGAAGATCAGTAGCTTACGATAGATTTTCAATGGCGATCAATGATATCAACCCTATTAATACTCATTAATAAACGTTATTTGCATTCGGTAGGGTCCTCAAGGTATTTCACGGGGGTTATACAATGGAAATATATCAAACCTCCTTGAAAATGTTGACTAAATCCCGTAATTAATTCAACACTTAATTATTTATAGAACAAAATGGAAGCGTCAAAATCAGTTGCGTTTGGACCAACTCAGACAACAGTCTACCGATCCGCCTGATTGTGAATTCGGTCAAAAGCATCATAGATTACATCCAGCGACAGAACAAGTACCTCTTGAAGCTCACCAGGAACACCGAGTGTTTTCTGTTACCAATGAATCGGAAGTTTCGGGCCCAGAATTNATGCTGTGAGTAGGTGAAGATCAGTAGCTTACGATAGATTTTCAATGGCAATCAGTGATATCAACCCTATCAATACTCATTAATAAATATATTTGCATTCGGTAGGGTCCTCAAGGTATTTCACGGGGGTTATACAATGGAAATATATCAAACCTCCTTGAAAATGTTGACTAAATCCCGTAATTAATTCAACACTTAATTATTTATAGAACAAAATGGAAGCGTCAAAATCAGTTGCGTTTGGACCAACTCAGACAACAGTCTACCGATCCGCCTGATTGTGAATTCGGTCAAAAGCATCATAGATTACATCCAGCAACAGAACAAGTACCTCTTGAAGCTCACCAGGAACACCGAGTGTTTTCTGTTACCAATGAATCGGAAGTTTCGGGCCCAGAATTTTCTAGTTCATTACCAGCGAGGTTCCTTGGGACTCCATATCAGGGCGCTGGTGGGGCACGATGGAATTTTTTAACTACGGCTGCTGCTTTAGTGCGGAATGTATCTTACGTACATGGTTGTCACATGTAATGAACAATGAATACAAATCATGTAACAGTGGGCTATAGGAATGGCGTGTTTTTCCTTTAGTTATTTCATCACCGTATGAAATCGATTATTGATAGTACTCACAACACTTCAAGCAGGGAAATTTGGAAAGTAATATTGAGGCAATATTCTTTACCAAAGAACCAGTATATTTAACATGTGTATAGATCATCTCTATAGATTTATTAAAGAGAATCTAATCAAAGACATTACTATTAAATTGAAATTTATTTTTAGTATAATTGTACATTATTAACAATTTTAAGGAAGATTAGATCTCGTGTACTTTTTTTAGATCTCTCACGTACATGTAAATTAATTATTTAAATTATATAAACATTGGATTTAGAAATTTTACACCACTTGAAAATTATTCTTTTAAGATATAAGGGTAATGTTGAGACGTTATATCTAATGTATATAGAAGTGAAAAATTATAACATTTTAAATACAAAAGGACAAATTGTTACTTATATGATTTATATTAATCATATAATTAATAATATTTGTATGAATAATAATAATAATACTAATTAAATACAAAGGAATGTAAGAATTCGTTAGAAATATTGTTAATTTATTCTTATTATGTTAAAAATGTAATTTTTTATCGTTTGTTTTATCTATACTTAAAATATATTTAAATAAATGTAATGATAAAATACTTTCAAGTTTAAAAAAGAAATAATTAAAACGATTGTGTAATTGTGTTTCGGATTTTTTTTTTTTGAGGAGGGACGTTTTAGAACTATTTGAACCCAGGCTTTCTTTTAAATGCAACTCAAATGCTATACAGTTTTCAATGAAATGTTTTCTATAACTATTTTTAAGTCTGCCTATTGTTTTCTTTTTTTAATTAAATTATAATAATATATTTAATACTACGAATACGTAGTATTCTTTTTGAAACGAATACTTAAGTAAATATCGTAGAAAAAATAATCTAAAACTAATAACCTAAAGTATTGGTTTTACAAATTTATATATATATATATTTATTTGTTGTCACTATTTCTCAGGCTCTACCGCTTTTGCTTAAAGATCTGTAAAAAGATAACAAATTGTATCTAATTGAAACATTATCCTCAAATTTTCATACATTTTTTGACTAATTGCCATATTTTTGAAAAATAAATAAATCAAAACGTTTTTTTAAATACCTTAGATAAGCCACTTTTATCAAGCATATTTTTTTTTTTGAAAATCCAATTTTTCCAATTTCATTTTTAAAAACGATCTATAAAATCGAATACCTTTAAATACCTATATATCTTAAATATGTATCTCTACTTAAATCTTATATAGAGTACGTCAGAAACATATTTAGGATTTATAGTATACTCCATTTTTATAATTTGGCTAGTTTTCTGTTTACTCGCCTTTATCCCAACTACTTGAGGTTGGCAATTTTTTTTTTAATTTTTACCCATAGTTGGAAAATTTATTTTATACTTTTCTAAAAATAATCTGACTAAAATTTTCTTCGGATATGATTTTTTCTTATCATTAAATATAAAATTACTTTCTATAATTATAATTATGTACCTTTTTTAGTTTGAAAAGTAATTCTCCTAAAATTACAACATTCTATTAGTAATTAGTATTTTGTAGTTACATGGTATTTCGGTCGCGATGATATAAACTATATTTTATGCATCGTAATATTAATTTATTAATAAAGAATTCATTCCTAGAAAGCCTTCTAGGAATGAAAAAATAAAGAACTTGACCTCCCTTACATTTTCATATTTGATGATTTTAAATGGGAGGAGTGAAGTGATGAATATATTTTGAAGCTTTCCGAAAAATTAGATTTTTTTAGCTCATCTTTCCTAATTTTATACAAAAATTTCGTCTTAAAACACTTTATAATACTGCAAATTTTGATTATATAATCTAATAAACATATATTGATCATATACAGAATGATTTTTTATTTTAACCTACACAATTACTCATAGATAAAAATAATTTATTCATTTTTTTTTTTTTTGGATAACTTTTGTTATATACTTTTCTTGAATTATTAAGTATGTAATAATTTTTAAGTTTAATAAGGGTGTTCATTTTGATTTTTCAAAACTAACTAAGTAAAATTTTATACAATTAGAGACTAGAGACTATAATATAGTCTTTATATTATAAAGAAATACTTTGAGTCATTGTTGTAAGGCACACAATTGTTTTAATATTTTGCTTATTTATATTGTGAATTTTGATAAATAATGACAATGGTCATTATAATTTATTTATTTTAAGCAGAGAGCTTTTAAATTTAGCATAATGGATTTCATATTCTTTATTTAATTTCAAGCTACATAACATATCATTAATCTTACTCCGGAGCTTGTTTAAAATAATTAATATTTGCTTAAATACTGTCACGGTGAATATTACTAGGTATCTATTATGGTCAATTAAGACGAAAGAAAATTCACATCAATATTCTTTCTACAGAAGAATGCACTGAATTGTTATCAATTTTTATGAGATAAGCCTTGTTGCTACATTCAAAATATATGGATAAATGTATGCATTTGAAATTTTTTTAAATTAGCTACTTACTTTTAATTATCATTGTGAAGTTTTAAAAAAAAATCATTCTAACACTGTGGTATAATTCTTTTAGAAACATTTAATAAAATTACAATTATAACATGTTAAATAAAAAATATTACACTACTATTTTATCCCAGACATTTTCTCCCTGTGGAAATTACTTGATCACTGGCAACAATTATGGAATAATAACAGTGTATAAGTAAGCTAATATATTTGCAAACAAAAGATAGACTTATAACAATTTAAAAAAAAGTTTACATTTAATATTTTAATTATTATAATTTTATGTTTATAAAAATTAGAATATTGTTCCTTTTTATTTTAATCTTGTGAATTCATTATTAGAAGCTTTATAAATTTTTTTTTAGTTTAAAATATGAACTACAGCCAGAAAACGATCTAAAAATCCGAGAAAGTGATAACTCATACGATTTTGAAATGATTCGAAAAATGCAAATAAATAGCTTAGTGTCAGGAGATAAATTTTTAATAATTGGTGGAGTTGGTTTAATTGTTGGTGTTGACTGGGAAACTATTATTAAAACAAGTTATAGTGAAAATTCTAAAATTGAACCTCTTAGTATTAGTTGGAGTATAAATATTCCTTCTCCCAAGTAAATATAGCCTTCTTCACAACACATAATTTATTTTAAGTAATGCAATATATATAAATATATTTTAATGTTTAGAGATTCAATGTTAAGCGTAGATGTAAATTGTATGATACTTAATAAAGAAGACAATATATTATATGCTGGATGTGGTGATAACATTATTTATATTTTCAACTTAGAATGTGGTGAAGTAATTCATAAATTTGAAGGACATACTGATTTTATACATTCTATTGATGATTTGTAATTTACTAGATTTATTATATAAATAAAATATGAAGAGGTTTAATTGCATAGATGTTTTTTTTAGAGATAATACAATTTCATCAGCTAGTGAGGATGGATCTGTTTTACTTTGGGATAAACGCTCTAAAACTTATACGTCAAAAATAATTCCTTGTAACAACCCTGCAATAAGGAGACCAGATCTTGGAAATTGGATTGCATCTGTTACAATTACTAATGACTGGATGGTATTGTTGATGATAACTTATACATTTATACTTGTGTTAATTATATATATATATATATATATACTTAAAAGTTATGCGGTGGAGGAGCTAAGTTATCGTTGTGGAATCGATCAATGGTTGCACCAATGACTGTTTATAATTCAATTGAGGATTCTGGCATTCATGTAACTAAATTAATGGATGAATCATTATATGCTGGTGGATGTTCTAAATTTTTTTATCAGTTATCTTTTATTGATGAAGTAATGTGTAAAATTGAAACAAACCCAGTTACTATCTTCAGTTGTGTAAATCAAGAAAATCCATATAAGGTAATTTAGTTATTACATTTTAACCTACAATGTATAGACATAAATGTTGTAACAATTTTAATATTAAAATATTAATATCCTTAAGTTTTGTATTGACATAAAAAATTATAAAAATATATATCAAATTATGTTTCATTTTGTATGTTATATTGTATGATTTTAAATATTGGAGCTATAAGTTTGCACTCATTGATTAACTCATTTAAGTTTATTAAAAATAAAGTCATAATTTTTTGTGTCATTATAAAAACATAATGGATAAAAATTATTTGAATAATTTATATAGTTTTATATAGTTTTATTTATTTTATGTTAGCTTCAGTGAATTAATAATAAAACTTTATTATCTGTTATTAATTATTACCTAAACTAGAGAAGCAGCAGTAATTTGAATTCACATTAACTAACTCTTATAGGAGATGAACAAGAATCAAATCTAACATGACTAGATGTTCAACAGGCTCTCATTTAGTGGAAAATCTTCTTGTTTCGTTATATTATATGTCACTGATCATTTGTTTTCTTATTTATTTTTAAATTATTAACTTTTATTTTACAAAATCTATGTTAATTACAAATTTACAATGTACCCTTTATCACATAAAACTGAAAAATAAGGAAAATATTTGATTTTTTGTGTAATTGTTAGTTTTACGATATTGCCAGCCCTAAAGTTTCCATTTTAGTTGTTCAACAGGGTGAATTTTCAATAATTATATTCTTCTTATTTTAATACAATATATTCATATTTTCAGGTAATGTGTCTTGCTGGATCTAGTAATAAAATAGATGTTTGCACTAATCTGAACTACAAAATGACTACTTTGGGAATTTAGTTAAGTTTTAACAAAAAAATGAAATTATGTGCTACTCTCAAAAATTACACATTATTCACAAATTTAAGAACTTTTTTATTTTATTGTAAAGTATTTTTAAATACAAAAACATTTGATCAATTTTTTGATAACTAATTGTAATGATTTGAATTAACTTAATTAAAATTATTTATGGAAAGTGATAATTAAGTATTATTGATAAATTAAAGTAGAGAATTGTTTGTATTTTTAATTCTTGTAGTAAATTTGCATATTTCTTAAATTTTATATTAATTGTATTTATATGTATAAATTTTTTTTATTGATATCTTGAAAAAATGAATTTTTTCTTAATATTTATTTTTTTATAGTATTTTTTTTTATTTTTATTAATTTTTAGTCAAATTTTATTATAAGGTGAAACTATTTAAATTTCTAATTTAAATTGAATAAATCGTAACTTTTATAAACATATTAGATAAAGATATGATAAACTAAACAATATATAATTATAATAACTATAAAATAATATAGGTAGTAATGTATAAACATTATTTTCTAGAAAAAGTAGAATTTTGTTTCAAGCAGTAAAATGTCATAATATGAAATTTTAATTCTGCCTTATTATAAAGGTTGTATCCTCCTATTATTTTTCATTTTTGGTTATTTTTTTTCATAAAATAATGACAAAAAAATACTTATTTAATTGATACAATCAAATTTTTGATTTCACAATTTTATCCTTGAAATTGATCATAAAAAATTACTGTATAAACAATGTATTATAAGATCTAAAAATTTTTATTTCTCCTGTAAAATTAACCATTTTTGACTAACACCCTTTGTAAATTAAGCAACAAGCCAGAGACTTTTAAATAATAAATGTTATGGCCCATTATTTAAAAATATATTACTTGTAGAGTAAATAATTGAGTAACAATAAACAACATGAGTGAGAAATAATCAAAAATTTATTTGAAAATTATTGTTATTAGATATAATTATTATAATGATCTTTAATTTAACAATTATCAATCTTTAAAGATTTTTATGAGTTAATATTGGTAAAAATAAAAATTATGAATCTAGTGATATAAAAAAATTAGTTAAAAAAAAGTTGTTGGAGGAAAAATAATAAGTGTTATTTTTGAAAGTAACTGAAACAATGTAAGATCAAAACCTAATACTTAAACAGCTTTTGAAAAGTGTCCGTTGATTGGAGGTTCATCAGCGGCATAATTTGACATTTCTTGAGGTATCACTGCACTCTCTTCAATGCCTGTACAAGGGCGACACATACATTCTAGTGGAGCCTTTGTTGTAACCTATATATCATAGTTTTGAAAAATTTAAACTAACGGTAACTTTAAATGTTATAAGATAATAATAATATTAATAATTTGTTAAGAATATTACATTTTTTTATTTAAGTGCTAACTTTTTTCAAAAATGAACTGTTTAAAGTCTTATTTATTTGTATCTACTGTACTAAATATCAATTTAATATTTACATAAATTATTTTTTGATGCACTTTTGAGGTGTAACTTTAAAAATTTAAATGACAACCTAAAATTATCTTTGATTATTTGAATTAAATTAGACTATAAGAAATTTAAATGGTCAATACTAGTTATGAAATATATTTTAGTACTTAAAATTAAAAATTTAAAACAACATATAGAGCCTAGTAACGTTTATTCGCGTTGTATTTTTATCATAGCAAACATAAAAGAATACAATAACCTCCTTGAATATACCTCAACATTTTATATGTTTAAAAGTATTCCAAATAATGTAAAATACTTATTTTTTAAACTATACTCGTCCATAAATGATTAACAAACCTTTCTAAATTTTCTTTCGCCTTGTTTGGCTTTAGGACAAAATAGTGATACTGATGCTTCTCGTTCGCCACTTTCTTGACAACACATACATGATCTTTCCATCTGCCAAATTTTCGAACCTGAAACCTAAGAGACGATGAAACTGTAAAATGTTAGTAGTTGTACGGACTTTTTTTTTGAAGAGTAATTTTAGTCTGCAATACTCATTACAATGGGCGTTCTCGCAAAAGATTTGTCCCCTTTATTAAAAAATAAATGTAGGAAAGATACAATTTTTTTGTTTAAAGGCAGTAGTAAACAATAATCTTTTGTATTCCATCCCAAGACGAAATTCTTAGAATGACCTGCTTATTGTCACATATTTTTACCTGTAAGTAGCTGCTGCATCGTCCAGTACACGCAAACGAAGGAATAGGTTTTGGCACGCAACCAGGATATTGAAGGACATGAATAACTGGTGTCACCTGACAATCATCGTTGGATCTTGCTGTCACTACAACCCCATTACCATTATCAGCAAATGCAACATGACATACGGCTAATGCCGTAATATATCCTTTATAATTGAGAAAAACAATATTAATGTTAATGAGAAGGCGTGGACTGGAAAGCTAACTACCCAAATGCACAAAAATTACAGTGGTCTTGCTCGCTCCAATAGCGTTTTGTGTTCAAAAAAAAAAAAAAAAAGGTAAACAAAACAAAAAAAAAGTTCATAAAATTTTTTATAACATAAATCATAATTTCCTAATGGAATTAAAATACATCTTTTTATTTTTGTAATAATAAATAATATTTATTCGTAATAAATATTACATATTTATAATACTTTACACATAATTCTTTGTAAGATATAGCTGATCTCATTACATTATTCATAGCGGTTCTCATCGCTCTATAGAAGGCGGCCCAAGGGGCACTTGCCTCATTGCCACCATGGTCAGTCTGCTCCTATCAATGAGGATACCTTATCCAGCGTTTAATACTTTTGTTTATTGTTTTAATACTTTAGAATAGCACATTAATTTAATAATTATGTATCTGCAATTCAAATTAAATAGAGCTGTTTTAAGTAATGGGCTACATTTGGACATTTTGTTTCTTTAGGAGATTATAAAAAATTTATTAGTGCGACATAAATTTTGATCCCTTCTAATAAACCAATTTTTTTTTACTCCTGGGCATTAAGACTTTCCCTAAATACTATTCTGAAAAGATCATATAAAGATTCTGCATCATAACCAACAAATGTTTTGTCAATTCTAATAAATATTTATTCATTATTAATGATTCACAGTTAAGCAATTGTAAATGTTGTATTAGAGGGGTTCAGTAAGATTTTAGAACATAGAGTAGTGAGATGAATAACCCCTACATTATCCCCCTACTATGATTTTAAATTCATGGAAGAGAGCCTGACCGGGTACCTCTAATAGTAGTACCTCTGGTTTTCTATATGTCAGTACCAAAATTCTTAAAAAACTTATAAAAAAAAATCTGCTTATATTTTAAACAGTAAAAATGTTCCATAGATCAATGTAAATTTCGACAATTTTTATGTATTAGACACATATAAACTAAACCTCAACGTTACATTTCTGTTAATGTTGATTGGTTGATGTTCGTCATGTAAAATAACAGTTAAAGTAATTCAAATATTAATGATTGTATACCCCCAAATGGGAATATAGAAGTGATAATAATGATGGAGAGAAGTCTAAAACCTAATAAATATCAATCACATGCATATAATTTATGATGAAAAAGAAGTCCTCAGATTTGTAGTTAGTAAAAAACAAACTTAAAAGAGTACAAACGTAGAAACGTTTCAAGAGGTTGAAGCTGTAGTGAGAAAGTACTGTCACTATAATATATATATATATATTTATATATTAGGATGGTTCTTAATATTAATGTAGTAAAATTAAAAAATTATACAATCTCAATTAGTTCCAATACTGAAAATGAGTAACGCAATGTTTCAGGTAAATGAGAAAAGATTAACCCGTGTCAAAAAGGCCTAAAATTTGAAAACTTAAAAATTTTGTATAACCGTACATTTTTCATTGGTTTTTTAGTTCAGCGCGTGAAACATAGGATTCACAACAAAATTGTAAGAAACAAAAATTATTTAAAATAATATTTTACACAAATTATATTCTAAACAATTTTTTGATTTACTTATTATTTATGTATAAAAAGTCAATATATATAATTTTGTTGTTAAAATCTCACAAAATTAAGTGAATGTTAGTTATAGTTTTCCAACTCGTAGTAATTTTCGTAATTTATCATAACAGCAATGTTTAATCTTGAATAAATTTTTATCAAACCGTTAAGTCACAATTTATTACAAGAATGACTAAAAAGACGATAAAGTCTTATCAAAACCCATTACTAATATTTGAGACATATAGTTTCAAAACCAGCTAAAACCATTTTTTGAAAATTTTCAGGAACAATAAAATAAGATAATGAGGTTAAGATTTAATTAAAAGATTTTATAATATATATGATATTAAAGCTTGGGAGTATTTACACATTGTGTGTGAATATTTACTTTAACAAAATATTTTTACTAGAGTTATTTAGTTTTATAATTTTTATATAGCTGGTTTTGAAGTTAATATTTTTTTTTCTCTATACATGGCTGGTTTCGAAATTGACTATGTGATATAGGTAGTTTTGAAATAAAAACTAAATATTATATTTTTTACTGCACTCTTTAATCAATATAAAAACTTTTGAAATTGACATTGTTAGATGGGTGATTTTGAATCCAACCATATTTTTCCATGATTAATTTAAAACAGTTATAGCCTGTTTTTAAGTACAATATTTTTACAGGACATTTAGTAAAGTGTGACCAAGAGAAAATACCAAAAAAATCATTTAAAAAAAATTTACTTATAGCTGGTTTTGAAACTATACGCCTCATTTGTCCTAACTATACATTTTTCAAGTTGTTTTCATTAGTTCTACTGCGCCCGTATGATCATTTTTAGATCGTATACATTTTAGTGTTTACAATAATTTTGATATTTTAACATTTTTTTAATACATATTAAAATGACTTCTCGGAAAACTTTATGAAAAGATACATTTATATTTTTGATTGGTTTCCCGTCAAACCAAATTATTGATAGTACGTTACCGTCAATAAGACAAGTACTATCGGTTTTTTTTTTAATATTCGTTATGTTAACCTGAGCATACTTGAAAGCTCTAAACTGACAATAAAAGAGGTAATTATTTTTTGGCAAAAAGTGCGTATACCTATCAGTGCTAAACAGTATTGCATAAAAAAACTTTAAAAATATTATGATTGCGAAGAACTTTGAACGATAAAACACATCGTAGAATCCAATTTATTCGTAAAATATGTTGGAGGGATAATAATAAGTCACTTAGGTAGAAGTCCTGTTTCTGCGCTTCTACCTAAGTGAATAATTAGGTAAATTATTATTAACAATGAGAACAATAGAAACCCGTTTCCTGACTTACTGAACACCCTGTATATAAAACCCAAACCAATATTATTATGCATTTTTTTTATTTGGGAGCAAAAAATTGTTTGGATATCATTACATTTTGTTTTAACTAATCAAAAAAGTCATCCAATAATAAAAACCTAGTTTTCTAAAGAATTCATGCTCCAATCAATTATTTCAAATTATTAAAAGATAATTGTTAGAAGTGAAGAGCAAAAAATGAGGTCTTTCAACTCTTGAGAGGTGGGTGCGATTTTAAAATGTTTGCCCCCACTATTTTTTACTTTGACGCAACTGTTGTCAAATTTTGAAAATGTACCGGAAAGTCTTACACTTTTATATATATCTTAAATTAAAGCTTATGTAATATACTTTTATTTTATCTTCACGGTGAAAATGGCTACCAAATGCTATTTTTGTGTGAATATTCTCGATTTTGTATTTTACATTTTTAACTTTATTATGCTATAACTTCTTGAAAAATGAATGGATCATTACAATTTTTTTATAAGAAGTAATATTTATATACATCTTTCATTTGACATAATTTTTTTTAAATCGGAACATTTCCCTTAATACAGGGGGGGTTTTAAAACATAAAAATGCATATAGAAAGTAGAACTTTTTCAACTTAATTTTTGAAAGTGTTCCGGAAATACTGACACTTTTATATATATCTTAAATTAAAGCTTATATAATATACTTTATTATGAAAAAAAAAAATTTCGGACTTTATTTTATCTTCGTAGTAAAAACAGACATCAAAGTTAATAAAAAAAACACGATTTTTGTAAACAAATTCTTTTTTATATTTTTAACTTTATAATGTTATAACTTTTTGAAAGATATATGGATCAATATAATTCTTTTTTTTATAGATGCATGATGTCTTTACCTATCATTTGGTATATTTTTTTTTTATATGTGACCCTTTACCTGTAGGCAGGTGGGGATTCAAAATGACAACTATTACACAAAACAATTTACTTTTTCAACTTAAATTTTGAAAGTGTTCTGGAAAGTTTGACAATTTTATATATATATCTTAAATTAATGCTAATGTAATGTACTTTATTATGGGGAAAAAAAAATTCCGGACTTTATTTTGTCTTCACGGTGAAAATGGCTACCAAATGCTATTATTGTGTGAAAATTCTCAATTTTATTTTTTACATTTTTAACATTATAATGCTATAACTTATTGAAAATTGTATGGATCAACATAATTTTTTAATGAAAAATAATATTTTTTAATATTACCTTTTTCATTTGACATACTTTATCTTAATCTGGATATTAATAAGGAACTAGCAGATTATGTAGCTTTTGGAATAATCTACCAATTTTTTAAAATTAAACACTATCTATAGATTTGCATCGAAGCGTTTTTTTTTATAGTGATTTTAATCACTTTTAGTAATCATTATACTTGATCCAACTATGCCACGTCACTACTGTACCGCGACCCCCCTGTGATGGGTTTTTTTTTATCTGATCAACCATTTGTCTATTTCAGCGGTTTAAAGTTAAGTGTTTTTTTACAAAAATTATATTGTTATTCTATTGTATTAAATGCATAAATTATTGATGACTATTAATAATCGTGTACTCCTTTATTCCATAGAAGTATATTACTATACATTTTTTAAACAAGTTGCACGAAAAAATTTTCTTGATGTTTACTATTATATGAAGAATAATTTATGGCACATTGAAACAGATTATTGTTGCCTCCATATTACAAAAATCAAATTAGTGATACATTTTTATTTTGTATCCAAATCTTAAAACAATTTAAAAAACAAATGGTTGATCGGTTAAACAATTTATAAGAACAAAATATTTTTCTTAAATTAAGATTATTTAGATAATAAATTAAGATAATTTTCTAACTTACTAAAAAATTGTCGACTGGTGGTAGACATTACGACTCAAAGACCATACTGTGAATAATCTCGAGAACAATAACTCTGTCTTTTGAGCTATAATGCTTCGAACTTCTGATATTTATGATTTATTCGTTGAAAATGACCACCTAGGAAGTTAACATGGTTTGTGTATTAAATAACATTAATAACTATTTACTGAACATGTAATCTTATTTCAACCCAGACAGTTTATTGGCGTCAAAAACAATGAAATAACTTAAAAACACAAATTTTTGTGTACATAAAACTAACTAAAAATACATTCAAGTTCATTTTTTTTTAATTTATAAAATATTTTTACGTATAAACATTTTATATTGATCTTTATTATAGTGAGGCAAACGGACAACCCGTTCTCAAGAAGGAGAAAGATGGCTTTAAGAATTTTTTGTCTGATAAAGAGGATTTTTTTTTTCCATTTTTGAGCGTAATAACTTCAACTAGATACGAATTTTAATCATTTGATTTATCATTAAAAAAATAGGACAATTGAGAACTGAGGAAATAAATGATAGTCACAAAAAAAACCCATATAGTAAAATAACTTTAATATGAATAAGAAACAAACATCAGATTCAGCGAACCCAAAAAAACATGAAGTAAACATCTGTATACTTGGCCTGTTACTAGCATTTTTCTTTCGATTTTTTTGGAGCTTTATTTTAACATACAGTTGTTTCAAATATGAACAATATTGTTTTACCAGAAACAACTTTCTGGTAAATATTGTTCTAAGGGTACACATTTGATATGGTTAAAATTACATATTATTTAGAAGTCTGTTTTAGTAACCGCATAGTTAAATATTTTTACTGAAGGTTTTGATAGATTGTGCTAATCTACAATTGATAAATATCATTCAAAGTTAATTTGCTATTATTTAATGTTAATTATTACATAAAAGTGCGAGTAGAGAGGGCTTATGGTAATAGTCGCTAAGCTAAATCTATTTTTGTCTATTGTTAAAATATTTGTAATTTTGCGTCTCAGTGTGATTACGCGAGTGGAACAAGTAATTGTTTAAAAGACATCAAAAATTTAAAGTAAATAAATCATTTTATAATTAAATCTGATACGGCTTACGTCGCAATGATGAAGTCGATACTGGTTTTGATTGTAGAGACCCGCTTAACGTTTTTTAATGACGAACAACAACAGATTATTTTAAAAAGTACCGAAAAGACGAACGCAATTAATTAAAGACTTCTTATAATATGGCGGCACTTTCGCTGGCGTCCGTCATGATCCTGAAGCGCCAAAAATTAATGGCGACGCTGTGCGGATCGATTCGTCGAGTTCGGTTATGCGACACGTCCGGAGCCGGTTGCGTACATCCTCAACGTTATCACTGACAATGTGAAGAACATTCAGTGGTGTACCACTTGAGGCACATCGACGTCGGCCGTGCTGCACTTGCTGGACTTTGGCACGCGGTGTTTGTCAATATTTATTTTGAATTAGTATTCTTAAAACAATTTAATGCTTTTTTGAAGGTATTTGAGGATTCATTATTCTTTAAACTTGGCCATATTGGATTCATCTGTGTTTTATTACTTTGTTCTTATATTCTGGACATGGTATTGGTGATATAGAATATTTAGTACAAAAATCTTCACAGATATTGGGGTGTAAACACATTCCTATTAAGTTTAATGATCTATTTACACAAGTACTACATCGTTCTGTAAATAAAATACAACAATATATTATACTGTAAATTTTGATTGATTTTTAATGTATTAATTCTATTATATATATTTTTTAGCTTCGTTGCAAAGCTGAGAATGTATTGGTTTTACTATGATGTGTTTTTTTTTTGTGTCTGTTACCACTTTTTCTCAACTCTCATTGAACCGATTTCTATCAACGATACGTCAAAAGATGAAAAATCGTATCTAGTCGAAGACATTACCCTTAAAAATTGAAAAATTTTCCCTCGTTTCCCGTAAATGGGGTAAATCTCCAAAAAAATTACAAATTTCAAAATCGTTAATTTTCGAAATTTTTTTTACTTAAAACTTTTTTACTCAAACGTTTTCAAAAATGAACAAAGTAATATATATATATTTTTTATAGATGCATAATATCCTTTCCTATCATTTGATATATTTTTTTGTAAATCTGACACTTAACTTGCCCACGGGAGGGGGATTTAAAATGACAACTTTTTCACAAAAAAATAATTTTTTCAACTTAATTTTTGAAAGTTTTCCGGAAATACTGACACTTTTATATATTCCTTAAATTAAAGCTAATGTCATATACTTTAATATGGAAAAAAAAATTCCGGATTTTATTTTGTCTTCACGGTAAAAACAAACATTAAAGTTGATAAAAAAATACGATTTTTGTAAAAAAATTCTTTATCTTAATCAGGATATTAATTAGGAAATAACAGATCATGTAGCTTTTGGAATAATCCACCAATTTTTTTAAAATTCAACACTAAAGTTTTTCATTGAAGCGTTTTTTGTTATGNATATATTTTTTATAGATGCATAATATCCTTTCCTATCATTTGATATATTTTTTTGTAAATCTGACACTTAACTTGCCCACGGGAGGGGGATTTAAAATGACAACTTTTTCACAAAAAAAATAATTTTTTCAACTTAATTTTTGAAAGTGTTCCGGAAATACTGACACTTTTATATATTCCTTAAATTAAAGCTAAAGTCATATACTTTAATATGGAAAAAAAAAATTCCGGATTTTATTTTGTCTTCACGGTAAAAACAAACATCTAAGTTGATAAAAAAATACGATTTTTGTAAAAAAATTCTTTATCTTAATCAGGATATTAATTAGGAAATAACAGATCATGTAGCTTTTGGAATAATCCACCAATTTTTTTAAAATTCAACACTAAAGTTTTTCATTGAAGCGTTTTTTGTTATAGTGTTTTTAATCACTGTCAGATATTATTATACCTGATCCAACGATGCCACGTCTCCACTGTGCCGGGACTTCCCTGTGCTGGGTTTTTTTATCTAACACTACAATTTGTTCACTGGTTAGGTCCAAATCAATCGAATTTCCTTAAGGATGCATCAATAGATTTCAAATTTCATTTAGTTTTATAACTCTCAATATTAAAAAAAAAGTCCGTAACTCAGTAAAAAATGTACAAATTTCAATAAAATGTTTAGGGTACATCTTGAATATCTATTGGCAAGCCATTGAATTTAGCCATTAGAGCTTTAAAAATTTATATTCTAAAAGCCACTCTAATCAAAATGCATAGGAAAGATTTCAACATGCGTATATGAAGAACTTTTTTTAATAGCATCATATTTAAAATATTAATTTAAAACTAAAAATAGTTAACCTAAAAAGCCACAAAAAGGACTAAAAAATTGCGATTACATATTTTGGAAACAATGTTATCATTAATAACCCTAAAGACATACTAAAAATATAATTTTACTATATATTTATTTATAATTGTNTGAATTTCCTTAAGGATGCATCAATAGATTTCAAATTTCATTTAGTTTTATAACTCTCAATATTAAAAAATAAAGTCCGTAACTCAGTAAAAAATGTACACATTTCAATAAAATGTTTAGGGTACATCTTGAATATCTATTGGCAAGCCATTGAATTTAGCCATTAGAGCTTTAAAAATTTATATTCTAAAAGCCACTCTAATCAAAATGCATAGGAAAGATTTCAACATGCGTATATGAAGAACTTTTTTTAATAGCATCATATTTAAAATATTAATTTAAAACTAAAAATAGTTAACCTAAAAAGCCACAAAAAGGACTAAAAAATTGCGATTACATATTTTGGAAACAATGTTATCATTAATAACCCTAAAGACATACTAAAAATATAATTTTACTATATATTTATTTATAATTGTTGATAATGTATTTCACATTTATACTTACCTAATGTAATAGCGCACAATGGACCAACGGGTATGAGTGCATGGGCATTATGTCCACCTCGATAATAACTAAAACTACCTAATGTAATAAACAAACAGAAATAAAAATAGAGGTTGGAACGGAAAAGAAATGTAGCGTAGGTGGCCAATGAGGAAATAAGTGTCGTAGCGGGCGTAGCATAAAAAAGGATGGGCAGCAATGGAAAGTAAAAGTGGCTGTAGGTACTGGGCAGTGACTATAATAAAATTAAATAGAAAGGGATCTCGGGGTATGTATGCTTGTGTGAAGATGTCTAATATGTGAATAAGATGGAATTACAAAGAAGGGTCACTACACCTAGTTCCTGCACAGAAACGCGTACACGAATTTCTGGCCAGTTACAAGTATCGTATTTCTTTATAAAAGTATTTTAGTAGTTATTCTCAATGACCTATCTTGTTCTAATTGTTTATTACTAAAAGTTCTTCAGTAAAGGATTTATTATAGACTTATTATATAAAATTAATGTTTTCACTCACCTCTGACTATCCTGATAAGGACAATATTCTCTTGAGATGAATGATGTAGTTGATGTAACAATTATTGATATATACGTATCAGTGTACGCATTTAAAATATACGGTTTATGTTGTTATTAACTCGCGTATAACTACTTTTCTAGTACAATTCTATATTAAATCTACCCAAGGTGAGACCTAAGTTTATTATAACTCTGGTTTTTTATGTAAACCCCTTTTGTATATTTATGTGGTATAGTCTTTAACCTTGTGTGTGGTGATTTACACTAATGTATTTATTGTTTAATAATTTATGAAACCAATAAAGAAATTCTAAACAACATAACTGTCCTACGTAACAAACTATTTTCAAGTGGCCTACGTCTTTTCAGTCGTCCAAAGAGTGATCTAGGGTAGATGCGAGCTCAATTTTGGTTCTTTGCACAATAGATTATACTAGTGTCCTACACTCCGATTGCCCGCACTATGGCAGAGATCAAACTAGCTAGTTAATAAGTGGAGACACACTTTTTAGTTGTTTAGGTGATTAGTATAATATTTCCACTCTGATTTATTTGTATTTCGCAGCTGGTTGTACCGACGTGTGATCTCAAATAATATCTTTATCTTTATGCAAGGACCCTTGTGATATGTGGCCTACTTCTTTTCAATCACCCGTAGGACGACCTTGGTTAGATGCGACTGTACTATAGATTTATGCACAATAAGTTGTGTTAGTGTCCTACACTCTGATGGCCCGCACTGTGACAGAGATCAGACTGGCTAGTCGATAAATGGAGAGACATTTTGGAGAACGCTTATAATTAGTTTGAGTATTAACTATGATATTATTGTGCTGGTACTCTGTCCAACCAGGTTGTGGCGCTTCAATAAGTCATAGAACACAATGCAATCTAGTCATGTATTTTTTTCGTGTGTTTATATATATATGTAGATAAAAAAAAAAATAAATACCATTATTTTGTATGTATTAGAATATTTGTATCACCAAAAGTATTCGACCGAAAATAAGATGTATAATATTTCTTGTAAATCCCAGTAATTACGAAAGGAGCATAAAAATCGTGCAGTTTTGATATGGAATTGTAACTAAGAACGGAACATACACTCATGCACATTCAATTTGTGTATCTTGGTTGAGAGTTCCAGAGTTCCAGAGAACCGTAGAGATGCAGAGACAGAATAGCAAGGCGTCCCAGTGTCAGCGAGAGGTATGTTCATAAGTCGTACATAACCACCGTAAAAGACCACCCGAATTTGGGGAAAAATGGCCTTTTTATAGCCCGCGAAACTGGTTTAGCGATTTCTGGTGAGATACTTGAAATATTTTTTGTTGTATTTGATTGGTTAATGCGATAGAATCTTTTACGTGGGCGTTTTATGGAATGCGTAAGAGGGTGGATAAATCTTGTGTAAGGGTATTATTTTATTACTCATCTTATCCACGGGGGAACACTGATTTGGTGATATATTTTATTAAATATAAGTATTAATTATTACATGTATTAAAATGTGATACTACACTAATATCATATCTATAATGAAATAAAATAATATGACACGGCCACGGCGTTGTCACACGTTGACACCCCGCGGTCGTGTCAGCTCCTTCTCAGCCACCGCTTTACTGTAAACCGGACCGCCACACACACGCGTTATCGTCGTGGTGTAAAGTCCAACAAATGCCTAGCGTCGTATACCCCGCCGCAATAATACGTGCAGTCAGTTATCTTTGTGACACCACAAAACGTACCGTCGTCCCAGTTCCGAACAGCTAGTGATACCCACTTGTTAAAACATCAACCTTTGCTTCATATTGTGAAATCTTTTGTATTAATATTATTTTTGGTTTCGTACATCTTTACAATATTATTCTAATAAACGGCTCGACGCCTTCCAAAATAACCTCGAACTTGTGTCGTCTACGTTATTTTAGTTTCGTGTGCACGGCACTTGAGTATATACTTGTATCAAATATTTTAAAAATTAGCTTAAAAAAATTAATTTATGGATGTATAAAGTGATTAATATTTTACTTAATTTGTAATAAAAACTTTATTAAAAATGTTTACTAAAATAATATTAACTCTATTTTTATTTATAAAAAAAAACCTATAAAAAGACAACTTATACATGTTAACTTGAAAAATATTTTTATTTATTTTGTCAATAAATAATAAAAAAAAGTATTGAGATATACAAAGTGATTAAATTTTAATATTACGGCCTTTTTTTCGTAAATAATTGAAAATACAAAGAAATATTTAAAGTAAACAGTGTTTGTTATTATTACATAACATATAATTAATATTTTTTTTGAAATGTTAAGTTATCTCATAAGTAATAGTGTTCAGTACCAAAAAATTATAACACAAAAATCAATTTATTATTAAATCGTTAATATTTCAATATTGATAAGTCAATTTATGTTAATTATTAAAACTATAATTGGTTTTAGTATCTCCAGTAATTATTTTCTTGTATAAATTCTATACAACCTTTACAATAATCCATTCCGCTACCAGAAAGAAAAAAGCTCGTATTTAAAACATTTTTGTTACAGCCACCACATTTTTCTGAAAATAAAATATATTAATATATTATACTGTAATTTAGGATTAAATTTAAAGTATTAATTCTATCATATATATTATTTGTGTCTATCACTGCAAACTGTTCATTATTTAGCTCAAAATAAACCGATTTTCCTGAATAATATGTCAAAAGATCTAAAACTAAAAAAAAATGTTCATAAATCGGTATAAAATCAACGGATTTCAACAAAATTGTTAAGGTACCTCTCGACTATTTAATGGTAAATCATAAATTTGTATTCTATGAGCCACTAAAATCAACATGTATGAGAAAGATTTTAACATGCGCATATAAAGAATTATTTTTATTTATAGTAAAAAAAATATTTAACTCAAATAACTATAAAAATTTCAAAAAAATTGCGAACACGTATTTCAAGAACAATGTTATCAATGTTAAACACATACTTTTATTATGTTNGTATTTCACGAACAATGTTATCAATGTTAAACACATACTTTTATTATGTTATTATGTATAATTATTGACAATATATTTTACATTTATACTTACTTAATTTCATATCTATAATGAAATGAAAACATATTTTGATGATTATTTTTAAAAAAATAATTCATGGTTGTATTAAGTGATTAAAATTTTACATTGTATTAAAGTATTCACTAAAATAATATTAAAAATATATATATATGTATATCATACATATTTTTTTTTATTTTTTCATACTAATATTGTAGTGTGAAAAAACCAATATAAAACAAAATAATGGAGGTTATTAGACTTAATAAACCACTCTGTATAGAAAATAGTTTAGATTAATTACACTTTTTAATTCATTGGTTATTATCTAAAAATGTCTCCTTTCTCCTCCATTCTAATCAGGTTTCTATTTAGTTACATACAATATGGTGAAAATATATTTTATGTAAACATTCTTATAAATAATTTATGAGTTGCAGGAATAAATTAACATGACATAAAAATGGGTATGAATTTTAAAAACCAAAATCTAGATAATTTTAACACGAGATACTATGATTTCATTTAGCTGATTGTTATAATACAAAATATAGAATATTATAATAATTATAAAATAGATTATTACCAAAGATTACTTTTGTATTACAGTTGTCAATTGGACAATTATGAATATTTTCTTCTACATAAAACTTTATACAGTCTTCACAAAACTTATGTTGGCATTCAAACAAATTATCTAATGGCTTCTCTTTATTACATTTTAGGCAATTCCCTTTAACATGTCAATGAAACATTAACTATTTATTTATTTTATTTTATTAATGGACACACGTCCAATTTACTATAAATATAACAATCTTTATTCTTACAATAAGTTTATGATAATTAATTAATTTTAATATCAAATAATACAAAAATCAACTATTTAATTATTAAAAAATTTTCTATAAAATTTATCATTTTCAAAGAGCAACATGAAATACAGCATAAGTATAATTTTTCTGATTTGAAGTTTAAAGAAAAAGTATAAGTTTGATGTTTTTTAATATTATGCGTCATACCAAAACAAAGAAATTATTTAATTCCTTTTGAATTTTTAGTTTGGATGTGAAGCTGGGAAAATATTAATTTTATTATAATGTGTTTTTTTATGTACTTCACCACTTTTTCACAACTTACACCGAATCGATATCTTTAAACGACACGCCATAAGATCACTAATCGTATTTAGTTGACGATACTTCCCTTAAAAATTAAAAAAAATTTCCTTCGTTCCTTGTAAATGTAGGAAATCTTCCCAAAAATTATGATTTTTAAAATTTGATATTTTTTTCTAAAAATTGCCATAACATATTGAAAAATGAACGAATCAAAGAAATTTTTTTATATTAAAACCTTAAGTATTTTCCTTTTATTTGATATATATTCTTTGAAAATCTGACCCGTTACCTCCCCTCAAGGGGGTATTCAAAATAGCCACTCTTTCAACTTTATATTTGAAAATTTTATGGGAATACTGACTCTTTTGTATATATTTTAAATTGAAGCTATTGAAATTTATTTAAATATGAAAATAAAAATTTCGAACTTTAGATTATCTTTATGGTGAAAATTTTATTTTATTTAAAAATAACTTACAAGAGGAGTACAATGATTTTCAAAATATTATATAAATATAATTAACACAGCATATAAAGTTAAACTTATTTAAATATTTTTACTTCTTTAAAGTTGAGCAAAATAATATTTTAATTTTGAACTACCTTAAATTGTTATATTTATATATACAAATTTAATTTTCGGTTATTGTGTTACTAACACTTTTGTCTTCCACGCTCGGATTACAAGGGTGGAACCCGCCAGTAAAACTAAATTTTTTTGCATTTTTTAAAAATTCTTTTTGAGTTAGAAAAACAGTTTGACTCATTTTTTTTTTATTTAATAGATTCAATAACTACAATGAATATAAAGGATTTTCATTGAAGTTGATAAAAGTAATTTTTGAATAATATTTTGGTCTCTGATGAAAATTTAAATAAATAAATTTATTTATATGTAACAAACAATTTTTTTTTGACAAGTATTGCATCAAGCCCTTCAAGTCCTATTAAATATCTCATACTATATTTAATTGCTACAATAAATATTTATTAATATATACACTTATAAATCATCAAACTTGTAATGAGGAAATAGATATGGAAATAAGAGGTGAAGATACTTTTGTAATTATCCACCAATTTCTTAAAATTAAAAACTATCTACAGATTAGCATCAGATATCATCTATACTTTTCCAAAATATGTCACGTCTATACTGTGCCGTGATCCCNTCAAAATATGTCACGTCTACACTGTGCTGTGATCCCAAAGTCCTTCCGGTTTTTTATTTAAATTTTTATCTAGATAAAAATTTAAACATTTTCAATACTGTTTTTGATATTTAATTTAAGTTTTCGCAATAAATCAAAATTAAGGATATTCTATTAACTAACTATTAATAGATACAAAATAGATTAAATACCTTTGGGTAGTTGTGATTTACAGTTTTGTATGGTACAATGATTGATTTTCGACGTATAAGCATCTTGTTTTATTTCTATTCTACAGCTATTACAAAACCAATGTTCGCAGTCAAAACATTTTTCTACTGAATTGATGAATTTACATTTGTCGCATATCTCTTTAACGTGTATTTAAAGTATTAATCATTTAAATAAACAAATTTAAAATTATGTCTTTTGAGAGAATATTTTGCATAATATTATGTTAACTAATTAAATATTATTAATTATATAATAAAATAAAAAATATTTAGAGTATGGAACATATGTCATTTTTTGATAAATTTTATGAATAATTCTTAAGTTACACGAATAAAATAACATGATATATGAAAAGTATAACGTTTATGAATTTATAAAATCATAATTTAGATATTCCCAATACGATTACTGAGATTTAATTTAACTCTTTGCTATAATAAAAAATATAGAATATTCTAATAATTATTTATTAATAAATACAAAATAGATTATTACCTAGGAGTACTTTTGTATTACAGTTGTCAATTGGACAATAATAAGTTTTTTCTTTTTTCAAATACTTTATACAGTCTTCGCAAAATGTATGTTGGCATTCAAACATTTTATCTACTGGCATCTCTTTATGACAATTTAGGCAAATCCCTAAAATGTATATGAAACATTAATTATTTATTTATTTTATTTTAATATCAGTCACGCATCCAATTTGCTATAAATATAACAATCATTTTTCTAACAAAATGATTATGTTAATTTATTTATTTTAGTATCAAATATTATAAAAATAAATCCTTAATTATTTTAAAGTTTTTAATAGAATATAAAATTTTCATAGGGCAACATAATAATAGTTTTTTTGAAAAATGATTATCTTTTCAAAATTTGAGAACTGTAAAATAAATCTTTATTGTGCAGTTCTTTCTTCTAAAATTTAAAATGAAATAAAACCTAATAACGAAAATAATGTACTTAATTTAATTACAATAATTTATTGAGAAACATAGTATAAAAATATTTTTTTCTGATTTCTAGGATTGTATATATTAAGTTACTAGTGAATTATAATTGACATTTTTGGAAGGTTATACTTAAGTACTGCATAACGATTTATTTTGTTTTGGACTTTTTTAATCTAGATACACCCAATCTTGTAACCGAGATTTTATTTAAGTTTATTCTATAATTCAATAGAATATTCTATTAGTTATTTTTCAATAAATATTAAATAAATTAAATACCTTTGGGTAATCCTGACATACACAAATCTATAAATTATAAAATTAAATATTAGTAGAGATAAATTATTACTTTGAAGAACGTAAATATTACAGGATTAGGATTAAAAATAAAAATTTTATATCTAACAAAGAGTGCCCTTTTAGGTAGAAATGAGGATATTTTTTTTAATTTAGGAACAACTATGAAAATTGGTTTAAGGAAAAAAAATAACATTATGTTTAAATGTTATTAAATTAGTTAATACTGATTTTCGCTATGAAAACCAGAAAACCTAAAATTATAGTTGAACTTGTCTAATTTACAAAAGCCTCTTTCACATATTATTAATTGTATTTTAGTTTAATTTATATTCTATTCTAATGATGATTATGTGATTCCTGTAGTTTGTTTTAACTATTATGCCATAAAGAATTTATACAAAATAAAAACCTGTAATAGTAGAGTAACATTAAAAGAAAAAAACCCAGCACAGGGGAGTCGCAGCACAGTGGTGCCGTGGTATAGTTAGATCAAGTATAATGATATCTGACAGTGATTAAAATCACTGTCAAAAATAAACGCTTCGATGCAAATCTTTAGATAGTGTTTAATTTTAAAAAAATTGGTGGATTATTCCAAAAGCTACATAATCTGCTAGTTCCTTATTAATATCCTGATTAAGATAAAGTATGTCGAATGAAAAAGGGATTATTAAAAAATATTATTTTTCATTAAAAAATTATGTTGATCCATTCATTTTTTAAGAAGTTATAGCATAATAAAGTTAAAAATGTAAAATACAAAATCGAGAATTTTCACACAAAAATAGCATTCGGTAGCCATTTTCACCGTGAAGATAAAATAAAGTCCGAAATTTNTTAATTTACAAAAGCCTCTTCACATATTAATTGTATTTTAGTTTAATTTATATTCTATTCTAATGATGATTATGTGATTCCTGTAGTTTGTTTTAACTATTATGCCATAAAGAATTTATACAAAATAAAAACCTGTAATAGTAGAGTAACATTAAAAGAAAAAAACCCAGCACAGGGGAGTCGCAGCACAGTGGTGCCGTGGTATAGTTAGATCAAGTATAATGATATCTGACAGTGATTAAAATCACTGTCAAAAATAAACGCTTCGATGCAAATCTTTAGATAGTGTTTAATTTTAAAAAATTGGTGGATTATTCCAAAAGCTACATAATCTGCTAGTTCCTTATAATATCCAGATTAAGATAAAGTATGTCGAATGAAAAAGGGATTATTAAAATATATTATTTTTCATTAAAAAATTATGTTGATCCATACAATTTTCAAGAAGTTATAGCATAATAATGTTAAAAATGTAAAATACAAAATCGAGAATTTTTACACAAAAATAGCATTCGGTAGCCATTTTCACCATGAAGATAAAATAAAGTCCGAAATTTGTTTTTTCCATAATAAAGTACATTACATTAGCTTTAATTTAAGATATATATAAAAGTGTCAGACCTTCCAGAACATTTTCAAAAGTTAAGTTGAAAAAGTTAATTTTTTGTGAAAAAGTTGTCATTTTAAATCACCCCCTGTGGGCAAGTAAAGGGTCACATATAAAAAAAAAATATACTAAATGATAGGTAAAGACATTATGCATCTATAAAAAAAAGAATTTTATTGATCCATACATCTTTCAAAAAGTTATAGCATTATAAAGTTAAAAATATAAAAAAGAATTTTTTTACAAAAATCGTATTTTTTTTATTAAGTTTGATATTTTTTTACCATAATAAAGTATATTACATTAACTTTAATTTAAGATATATATAAAAGTGTCGGACTTTCCGGAACACTTTCAAAAGTGAAGTTGAAAAAGTTCTACTTTCTACATGCATGTTTTAGATTTGAACCCTCCTCAAATATAGGGAAATGGTCCGATTTAAAAAGAAAGTATGTCGAATGAAAGATGTATATAAATACTACTTCTCATGAGAAAATTGTGTTGATCCATACATTTTTATATAGAGAAAAACAAAAATTTTTTATAAGTGTTATCACTATTTGAATATGAATATTTCTTATCTAAACAAAAAAGAATCTAAGTTATATGAAGTTTGTATAAACATTTATTGAAAAAGTCATTGGGATAAGGTAATATAAAATATTATTTTTATCTAAATAAAATCTAAATTTTCCTAACGCTAAAATTTAATCAAATTTTTTGTTGTAATACAAATTTGATATAATACAAAATATGGAACATTGTAATAATTATTTGTTAATAGATACTATATAAATTAGATACCTTGTTTACACTTATATGCTTCACCTTTATAAGTACTTCTTCTGATATCATCTATACAGCGCTTACAAAACTCATGTTTGCAGTCAAACAATTTTTCTAGAGTATCGATGTACTTACATTCGTTGCAACTAACTTTATCTAGTAATTGAAGTATTAATTATCAAAACAATTAAATTTAACATTGTTCGTTTATAGTGATTTTTTGAGGTATATTATGTTAATAAATTAAATATTATTGATTTTATCATTTATAAAATTGCCCATTATAAGTAATCAAAAATAAATAAAATGAAAATAAGACTCTAAAAAAGGGACTGAGATACATCTATAAGGACTAGTTGAAAACACAAAACCATTTTTTATATGAACGTAACCTTCATTCAAATATATTGTGATACTACTTATCGAAGTCAATTTTGAATATAAAGGCCATAGACATTATAATTTAATAACTATTATAGGACTATGTACAAAACCAGTAACTATATCAAAATGTCAATAGTGAATTCTTGTTTATGGCTCTATTGAAAAATATTTTATTAATAAATTGAATAATTTATAAATTATATTATTATATTTGTCATTTCATATTTTTGATACGTAGATACCTAACTAAATTTGTTAATATTTTTTTCTTAATTTGTTTCTCTTATAGTATAATATTTAAAAATCAAAGACTATTTTTCATTTATTTTCATAATAAATTAGAATTTTGATACTAATTTTTGTTTTCTATAATATTCATTTATAATTGATATTTGATAAAATAATAAAAATTATAAGAAGGAAATAGTCTATTCCTCTATAATAATAATTTACTTTTAATAAGTCAGTATCTCCATATTATAAAATATAATTTTTAGCCTTTAAGGGAAGATAATTCGTTGTGGCTCGGGATAGCTCCTGATTTTTAGGAACTATAGTTCTGTTTCTAGTTTTTTCCGCTTAAGCACTGCCTATGAATTAAAAAAATCTTAATCTAGATATTCCTGATACGATACTGAGATTTAATTTAACTGTTTGCTAAACTATACAAAATATAGAATATTCTAATAATTATTTATTAATAAATACAAAGTGGATTATTACCAAGGATTAATTTTGTTTTACACTTATTTATTGGACAATAATAAGTTTTTCCTTTTATTAAATGCTTCATACAGTCTTCACAAAACTTATGATGGCATTCAAACAAATTATCTAATTGTTTTTTTTCATTGCATTTGTCACAATTTCCTTTAACATGTCAATGATGCATTAACTATTTATTTAAATTATTTTAATAACAGACACACAACAAAATATTATTTTTATCTAAATAAAAAAAGTTATTCCTAATACTGCTAATGAGTTTTAATTTTAGTTTAAGCTATAGTACAAAATTAAATATATTCTAATAATTATTTATTAATAGATACAAAATAGATTTTTACCAAGGATTACTTTTGCTTTACACTTATTTATTGGGAAATAAGAAGTTTTTTTATCTTTTAATTTGATTATACATTCTTAATAAAAATTATGATTGCATGCAAACAATTTATCTTTTTTTTTTTTTTACGCAACCGGCATTATTGTGGACCGCCCTGGAACTACCGTGAGGTATTACTTCACGCCGTCTCTAAAACTCACACAACCATCCAATCATCCAGAAATTAATCAAGAGCTGATTCTCAACGTGGTGTGGCCTCCTCAGTTAGCCCGTTCGTCTGGGTTGCACCAAGTGGAAGTGGACTTTGCGAAGGGGGCAAAAATAACTCACAACACATAAAACATATAAACGCGAATACCTAAGACGCCGGCCTAAACCAGCGCCTTAGTTCCTCCTGTACCGGGCGGCGCGGCTGCCTCTGTCTCAGGTGTTCTGCTTCCTCTTTCTTTTCTAAGATGGATTCGGCGAACGCCTGGACGAGCCCCCACGCCTACCGGCTTCCAAACATCAGGTCCACCCAGGACCCGACTCGGAGCGTGGACCCCAGACGGGACTCCAAAGAGTCCCGCTCTTGGGCCCACGCCTCGCACCGGAAGAGGATGTGCAGAGCGCTATCAACCTCTCCCGGGCGATCCGAACAGTGGTGTAAGTACTCGTTAACGCAGCCGTGGCCGGACATCACTTGGGTGAGACGATAAGTCATCTCACCGTGAGTCCGGTCCACCCACCTGTCCAGCCGATCAGGCCCTATGAGGGACCTGGAGCACTCGCCTCTCGGAGGAATCGACGAGAGTCGAGTCCGCCACAGGAGCATGGTCATCCGCTTGAACGCTAGCCGGTACTCGGGTTCGAGGGACCGGTTGCGTTCTCGGCGGAGCTCATGCCCGGCGGCGCGTTCCTCGGCGAGCAGGTCGACGGGCGGCAGTGACCACACGATACCCGCCGCCACTCCGGACACCGTTCGGTACGCCGAAACTGTCCGGATCGCCGCCCGCCTCTGCACCCTGATCAGAGCTTCACGGTTTTTGGACGAATACTCAAGAGATCCGCCCAAATCGGGGACCCGTACAGGAGGACCGAGTGTACGACGCTGACTAAAAGTCTTCGCCGCATCTCTTTCGGCCCTCCCAGATTGGGCATGAGCCCCGATAGGCAATTCATGACTTTCTGGGTCCGCTGGGCCGCACATTACTCGTGCGGCCCGAACTTTAGACGTTTGTCTATGACAAGGCCCAGATAAGTCATGGAGTCCTTAAGCGTGATCTCCACCCCCAGCACGGCGATCCGTGGAGGAGTGAACCTGAAACAATTTATCTACTAGGTAAATCCATATCAAATTTTCCAAAGTCGTTGCGCGATCACTTTATTTTTTTTTGAAATTTTACACACAAGTTGTCTAGTATATAAGAAGAAAAAATTAAAAAAGTTTTACGAAACTTTATTTATGACTTATCAAAAATTTTAAATTAAGGAATACTTGTATTTCGTAAAAATATCCTTATGATAACAGTATTTATATTTAAGACTTGAAATTTTCATCGTTTTTTTTTATACTCTAACATATCCTATAATTACCAACACGTTATTTAGCTTTTAAGTTGGAAAATGTTGTTTTCTAAATTGAGCTTTTTTTACAAAATAATGTAATTTTCAAAGATCAAATTGACTATGAAAAAACATTTTTTTTAATAAATTTGTTTTCCTAAATATTAACAAACACTCACAGTAATATTTAATTGTGTTTTGAAACATTTTACTCTTACCGTTTTTTATTGGGACATATTTAAAAATGCTCGAATTTCTAAATAATCAATTTTTCAACTTTTTTATTTAAATTTTTCTCTGGTGGAACAAAATATTTTAATATAATTTTTTCATACAATATATAACTATGTATTTAGTTTCTATAAAAAAATTTCAAGTTTGATATTTGACTGCAACTTACGAAAAATTAACTTTCAAAATTACGTTTTTTTTTAAGTTTATGAAAAATCTTGGTTTTTTTAATACTGAAAACTTTTTGTATTTCCATTACTAAGCTATTGTGTCTGTATAGGTATATGTATATAACATAATATATATATATGTAAATTCCTCAATATATTAAGTACATGAAAAGTGTATTAATGATCAATTAAAAAAATAAATAAATTATAGATGTAAAGTATATTAAATTTTTGTTAGATTTTTCTAGGATATTATTCAAAATTATTTTAAATGAGAAGAATATACCTCATTACATTTGAATAATAAAAATAATGATTTGTTGAATGTACTGCAATTTAATTACGATAACGTCTCTTTTCAACTTTTGTATATACACAATATAATCTAGAAATCGTTCATTANAAAAATAATGATTTGTTGAATGTACTGCAATTTAATTACGATAACGTCTCTTTTCAACTTTTGTACATACACAATATAATCAAGAAATCGTTCATTATTTTTTTTTACCATTTATCATTAAATTACACTAACAAAAATCTTTATATATATCTTCAGATAAACGATTAATTTTATTATGTTTTAAATCATATCCTATTTTACCCATTTGCTCTCTATAAAGGTAGAATTATAAATAAATAGGTTTAACTTGTATGCTGAGTATAAATGTACTTTATTTAGATGGTCTTATTCATAATTTTGCTATCAATTATATATTTTATAGTAGTACATTATTTAAATTCTTTTATATTTAGTTATTTCATTTGTTATTTTTTTAATTGATCATTAATACATTTTTCATGTATTCATGTATTAGTCTGGGGTCCAAAACGTATCTAGCCGAAGAAATTACCCTCAAAAATTAAAAAATTTCCGGAATGAAAATGAACATGACATACTGACACTTATATATATATATATATAAGCTATATATTAAATTAAAGCTTATGTAATATATTTTAATATGAAAAAAATATTTTGTACTTTATTTTGTCTTCATGGTGAAAATGACTACCGTATGCTATTTTTTGTGTTAAAATTTAGTATTAAAAAAATAATACCCCGAACTTAAAATATTGTGTAATTAACAACATAGTCACAGTGATCAACATGAATAAGTAGATAAAAAGAACTAATTAAGCTCGTTCAAAAGTTCAAAGTCGTTTTTCTTAACTTTGTGAAGGTAAAATAATTATAATTAGTTTAAATTTATACTTATTGTTAGTTAGAATCATGTTAATTTTATAAAAATTGATGGACACATTATTATGGCAATCCTTGTATAGTTATTTAAAAAAAAAAAAAAATTTGAACACAAAAATAGCATGTTTTTTTAAATACAGCAGCCATTTGCACGTTGAAGATAAGTCGTCGGGACTCTAAAATTTCTTTTTTTAATTTATTGCGTTTAACATAAGCTTTAATGTGTCATATGTTAAAAGACGTAATATTTCCAGAACATATTTACAATTTAATTGAAAAAGTTGATTTCAACACTAATAACCTTTGAATTATATTTTATTTTATTCTATTGAAGATATTACATGATACATAATTAGCAAATCACATTGTGTTATAGTATAGTATTGAGATATGGCTCATCAAATTTCAAAAAAGATTGAATTTTTCAGTGTAATTTTAGAACAAGATAAATTCTGGTACACAGTGAAAGATTCATTAACATTAATTGTTTATTAAAAATTGTTAAGGTACCTCTCAACTATTTATGAGTAAGCCATAAATTTGTATTCTATGAGCCACTAACATCAATATGTATGAGAAAGATTTTATTATGCGCATATAAAGAATTATTTTTTTTTATATTATAAAAAAAAAAAATATTTAACTCAAATAGCTATAAAAATTACAAAAAAATTGCGGACACGTATTTCACGAACAATGTTATCAATGTTAAACACATACTTTTATTATGTTATTATGTATAATTATTGACAATATATTTTACATTTATACTTACTTAATTTCATATCTATAATGAAATGAAAACATATTTTGATGATTATTTTTAAAAAAATAATTCATGGTTGTATTAAGTGATTAAAATTTTACATTGTATTAAAGTATTCACTAAAATAATATTAAAAATATATATATATGTATATCATACATATTTTTTTTTATTTTTTCATACTAATANAAATCTATATAAGGAGAACTTAAATATGTTAATTTTGTCAATATTTTAAACTAATTATAATTGTGTCGAGCTGTATTAGAGAAAATAAGCTAAAAAACATCTACAGTAAACATAGAATACATTAGAATAATAACTCATCTAGATAAAATAAATAAATTAAAAAAAAAAAATANTAAAAGACATCTACAGTAAACATAGAATACATTAGAATAATAACTCATCTAGATAAAATAAATAAATTAAAAAAAAAAAATATTGAGATGTACAATGTGATTAGTTTTTAATATTACAGACTTTTCCTTGGAAATTATTAGAAATATATAAGTGTTTTAAATAAAAAGTTTTTGTTATAACTACTATTTATAATTTTGTATCAACTTACGTTTTTGAAATTCAAACATACATTCTTAGCTCAATTAAAAATAATAAAATAATCTAACTAAGAATATGACTGATCAATAACAACTTGTTAATTACTACTTTAGTAGTTATGAACACTAAAAAATAATAAATGGATGTGAAACCCGATTCTCTTTATATTAATTTCTAAGCATTTCTGAACCACTCTCGCTAGTATTTGAATTATAGCCCGTTAAATTTCAAAGAAGATTGAATTTTTTATTGTAATTTCAGAACAAGATAAATTCTGGTACACAGTGCAAGATTCATAAACATTAATTTTTTATTAAATCATTATTGTTTGGTACCGATTAATGATACAATAAACTTTATTATCCAAGGTTGGGTATAAATAAAATAATAAGTTTTAAATTAATAGTAACATTTTAGGTTAACGAAGATATTAAGACACTACGAAAAAACACACACACACAAATATATATATTATATAGATATTAACATATTAATATTTGAGAGTAACAATTATACTGTTAAAACATTATGAAAATTAACATTTTATTTTATCTTTCCTAAAATGATTTCATAATGTTTAACCGATTTCTTGGATTTTTAAAATGGAGTTAGACAGTCATTGAACTTTTAGTATAATTTTTTTTTTGTTTAAATTACAATTAATAATGTTTAACCGTCTTATGAGGATTTAAAAAATATTAACTTTGTGTATTTTGATCAAATATAAAACGAAAAAATTTCGGTTTATAAAAAAAAAATACGGGAAAATCTTGTTGCAAAACAATTGCAACAAATACTGCTTGGTTATATACTAAAATATAAAAAAAAAATTTTTCCATTATTGTTTTTATTTGAATTTCAAAATATATAAGATTGTATTATATCATTGTTACAATTATTGAAATTTTTGGCTCAGTAATGGCTATCTATGTTAGACCTTTCGACGATGACCATCGTCTGTGATAATAACGTTTTTTCTGTACTAATCTATGCAGTAAGCCAGTATTTTACGAGAAATGGCAGCCAAATTATGTCACCCAATACAACAGGGTCAGTACTTAGACAAGATGCCAGTCAGTTCTATATTAATTAATTAATTTTTAATACGGAAAAGCCGAACTATAGAATAAGTAACTTTTAACATATTTATATAATGAAAGAAATAAGTAATTTTCAGTTTCGATACAAAGCTGTGAAGGTATTGATTTTTTGTGTGTTTTTTTTATGTCAAACTGAATAAATTCATCATTTTTATACAAAATTTACTATACTTATCTCCCTCTATTCTAATATATTTAACGAATTGAATAAACGAAAACACATTGTGTATAATATAAGTGGTAAAAACATAATTAGAAATGTTCTTTCAGTACTATATAATTAAAAAAGAAAAACATTCTGACAATTTTTTTCTAAGAGTTATTTGACTTTAAAATTCACTGTATTAACAAAAATTTAACAGATTCACATAAATACGTTTTTTTATAATAGTAATGTAAATAATTGCTATAGTTGGAACAATTATAGATGATATTTTATATCATATAAACATGCACCAAGTATGCCATATTTTTACCGAGCTAGTTTTTATTTATAGAAATATTTTTTTAGTAAAATCAATATGTTATTGTTTTTGCTCAACTTTAAAACAGGTCGATAAATAACGTTGTCAAAAAATAAATTTCAGTAGTTATTTGGTACTTAAAGTTTATAATAATACAAAGTTTCTATTATTATTTACTTTAATTCAACTCACCTGACGCGGCTTTACTCATTGACATGTAATGATCTAGCAAAATATGTATATACATGTAATAACAACAAATAACACATGTTCAATAAATTTCAATAAATATTTTTATTCGTTTTTTAAGACACTATATTAAAAAAAAATATATATATACTTGGTCTATCTATGATAGTATACTACTAGACATAATAATTGCTTAGATAAAAACAACCCTCTTTATTGCCAATTTTTATATTGTGCAGAGTGGATCAAGATATGTTGACAATTCTTAACTATTGATCTACTAAATCTTTTATTTTTTTGTATGTTACTGTTAGAAAATTATAATACAACTCAATAAAGTACAAGGTATGAACGTAAATAATACTACATAATGAATAAACACTTAAAAAAAGGACATATTAAAAATACAATTTTTAATAATATTGATAGTTTATTTTAAAATATATATGATATTATTGTATTTATTTTTCGATTAGTTAAATGTTCAACGATATAAGAAACATTTTGTATATAAATAATTAATTTATTACCATTATGGATAACTACAAATACGATAGCTGAGAAGAAGACTAAAGAAAATAGTTTCTGAAAAATCAAAAAATCAAAAAAAATATTTGAAATATTCTTTTTTAGTATTATTTTTCATAAAATATTTCACTTACCATTACGATTTATTGAGAGACGAGTATGTCGTGTATAATGTTACAAATAACTTGCTAAGAAAATTTCAATTGTGTCAAAAATTTGTTTTGTTATTTTATATAGACTAAAATCATTAGTTTATTCAATTGCAATAAACATGATTGAAAGTGTTTGACAAAAATAAATCAATGTACACGTATAGTTATTATCAATAAAATAATATATATAAAATTGAATGAAAACTTGTTTTTTTTTAAAATTTTTTCTTATTTATTTGCTAATAAATAAAAATATATTCGTACATTCAATATATACTTTAAAATATGTGAACATGAGAACAATATATTTGATTAAATAAACTAAATCGTAAATTTTCAACTTACGATTGTAACCTTATTTTTACTATCTACTTTAAGAACATTTTATTACTATGTTCTTACCACTTATATTATACACGTTTTATTTCCATTTACTTAATTCGTAATACATATTAATTAGCATAGAAGGAGATGCTGATGTAACAATTCTACTAGTCTGTAGCACAGAGCTACTGACATCGAACTATCAAAGGGGAGTGGTGTTTGAGTGGCCGTTATAGATATAGTTTTCAATACTATTACTTTCGTTTTATTTATAACTGAACTTGTTTTATTCAACGACCCATCTATCGCCAATTGTCATCATAGCCAACCAACTCCGTCTCACTTGGATATACCTACTAACCAACTGTACTAGGATTCGGGTCAGACGTATTGTACATTACATATAACTTATATTTACTGAACATCCAGAATATAACTTGACTTTGACGTTGTGACATAAAACAATAGTTTAATTTTATTTAATAATCTACCCCCTGTAACTAAGGTACACGATTGCCTGTGTCTCCTTCAGGTAATTAAAACTCATTTAAGGAGATATTTGGGCAAACGTCGGGTAGTTTCCGATTTTTGGTTTTGACCAAGATCCTCAACTATTAAACAAGCCCTTAACACTACTGTAGTAATATGCTCAATGCTTTGCATTACGCATCTTCTAATTATTAATGAAAAATGTATAATCTGTATTTTAAATAACTTGTAAACAAACAAATAATTTATCTGTCATAACAAATACGATGTTCAACACAATTTCTTATTATTTATATATATATGTCAATTTATCAATTGTTAAATATGTTATCTGAATATAATAATCCTGTAATGTATAATTAATACAATAAACAAAAAAAGATTACTAAAAGCGCTGACAACAATATCCCTGGATTGGGGGCAATATCATTTTATTATAAAAAGCACTGAAATCCTTTCAGTCGGAGAGAGACTCTAAGGAGTGACAGCGAGCGAGATAGTTCGTTTTCTACGGATTGAAATAAGAATAAAAAAAGTAACAATTTATCAGTCACAGCCCTGTATTGTTGTCGGCTGACTTTNGAGAGACTCTAAGGAGTGACAGCGAGCGAGAGAGTTCGTTTTCTACGGATTGAAATAAGAATAAAAAAAGTAACAATTTATCAGTCACAGCCCTGTATTGTTGTCGGCTGACTTTTACGCGTTTTATTTATATATGAAAAGAACTTGTTTTAATTATTTATCTTTTGAAGAAGTGCGAATTAAATACTTTTAAACATATATAAACATATCGAGATATTTATCAAATCATTTTACAGCAATTTGCAAGAATAAAAGAAGTAAGTAATTTTATGTTATCCCAATTATTTGGAGTTAATAAATTTGAGTAAAGGATGACAAAGCAATAGATCATTTATTAAATTAATATCTTAAAGTGTCAATTTTGACTGGTTGGTTAAAGAAGTTATACATAATCACGTTATATGGTATTCGTGAACTGGCTCTGCCGTTTCGTTGCCTTAAAGATGTTTTAAAAAACCTAGCGTGATTTCTACTGTATAAATTAGGCTCTGGTATTCGTGGACTGGCTCTGCCGTTTAGTTGCCGAGGTATTCGTGGACTGGCTCTGCCGTTTAGTTGCCGAGGTATTCGTGAACTGACTTCGCCGTTTCGTTGCCTCTTAGTTAGGACATTAGAAACTAACCAGACAAAAGTTTATTCTACCTCTATAAGAGGAACTTAATATATATTTTTATATCTACTTGTCTTTGTCGTTCTAAACCCTCGAACCATACGACCCCGATAGAACCACAACATCAGGTTCTCACTATACCCATCGCTCATTTTCATCATTTATATTTTACCAACTTTTTACCGATTTTATTTATATTTTTGAATTATAACACTACTCTATTACTATCAATATGTTATATGGTTGAAAAAGCATTTAAAGTTACTTTTAGCTTCGATGCGAAGCGGAGAAGGTATTAATTTTACAATGATGTGGTTTTTTTTTTTTTTTTATGTCTGTTGCCACTTTTTCTCAGCTCTCGCTGGACCGATTTCTTTCAAAAATACGTCAAAAGATCACAAATCGTATCTAGTTGAAGACATTACCCTTAAAAATTGAAAAAAATTCCCTCGTTCCCCGCAAATGGGGGAAATATCCAAAAAAATTACAAATTTAAAAATCGCTAATTTTCGAAATTTTTTCACTTTTTTTTCTTAAAACTTCCATAACTTTTTGAAAAATCAACAAATCAACATAATTTTTTTTTATACTAAAACCTTAGATATTTACCTTTCATTTGATATCATTTTTTTGAAAATCTATCACTTAACCTGCTCATTGGGGGGGATTTAAAATGGCAACTTTTTTACAAAAATTAATTTTTTCAACTTAATTTTTGAAAATGTTCCAGAAATACTGCGTCCTTCAAACATATATCAAATTAAAGCTTATTTAATGTACTATAAAATAAAAAAAAAAAAATTTTTCCCGACGACTTATCTTCTATACGCAAATGGCTGCCGTAGTTAAAAAAACACTATTTTTGTGTTAAAATTTTCGATTTTTGATTTTAAATTTTCAACTTAAAAATGCTATAACTTTTTGAAAAATGTATATATCAGCACAAATTTTTTTTTTCTAAATACATTATAAGTACATCTTTCATTTGACATACTTTTTATTAAAATTGGACAATTTCCCCTTATATAGGGGGCGTTCAAAACTTAAAATATTGTAAAAAACATAGATCTTTTTCAACTGAACTTTTGAAAATGTTCCGGAAATACTGCGTTCTTTACACATATATCAAATTAAAGCTTATTTTATGTACTATCAAATGAAAAAAAAAAATTGTCCCGATATCTTATCATCTATGTGCAAATAGCTGTCGAAAATTTAAAAAAAATGTAATGTTTGCGATAAAAATGACCATTTATCGGGATGTTTTTTGTACTTAAAACTGCCATAACTTTTTCAAAAATGAACAAATAAAAATAATATTTTTTTGTATTGAAACCGTAGATATTTCCCTTTCATTTGATATNAAAATAATATTTTTTTGTATTGAAACCGTAGATATTTCCCTTTCATTTGATATAATTTTTTTTGAAAATCTAACACTTATTCTGTTTACTGGTGGGATTTAAAATAGTAACTTTTTTACAAAAAATATTTTTTTCAACTGAACTTTTGAAAATGTTCCGGAAATACTGCGTCCTTTAAACATATATCAACTTAAAGCTTTTTTTATGTACTACAAAATGAAAAAAAAAAAATTTGTCCCGACGACCTATCTTCTATGCGCAAATGGCTACCATATTCAAAAATTTGCTATTTTAACAAATTTTTTTTTTTAATTAAACGCTATCTACAGATTTGCATCGAAGCGTTTTTTATGATAGTGATTTTAATCACTGTCAGATATCATCTATACTGGACCCAACTATGCCACGACCCCACTGTGTCGCCACCCCACTGTGCTACCGTTCTTTTTTTTATATATATTTTTCATTTTATTTAATATAGTAAAGAAAATAAATTACTACAAAGATTTTCTTTTCTTGCAATTTATTTGGATGTGATTTATTATAAGTACCAAATATTTTATGAACATACAAAATGATTTTCTTAATATAACCCACACAATTACTCTCAGAATAGAAATAATTTTCAAAATATGTGTTCTTATTTGAAAAATTATAATGGATAAGCTAAAATATTATTATATGGTTAATATTTAAAGAATAATATATAACTAAAGTTACTCAAAAAAAAAAAATTATACATTATTTTTATTCGATAAGTAATTGTGTAGCTTATGATAAAAAAATCACCATTATACCCATATATATATTTATCATTAAAAATCCAACATTAGAATCGTATTTTAAAATAAAGTTTAATATGTAATTAATATAAAATATTATACATTTTCAGAAAGACGCCCCAACGGCCCGCGCACCTCATAGTTACGCGGGTCGCCTTGGATGAGGCTGCTTCTACCCCGTGGAAAGCCAGTGGAAAAGGGAGGTAGGCCGAGGCTACTCATCATTAAATAGCCTAGACCCTGAAGAGCAGGAAATAAGGAATAAGCAAAGGGAGGCGGTCTGGGCCTAAGGGACCCACACCTGGAAGATGTTAATAATATAAAATATTACTGGTAATTAATATAAAATATTATACATTAACACGTATAACAAAACTCAATTATATTAATTACGTTTAAGGGCAAAGTAATTGGGCATTTAATTTTTGTATTTATTAGGACTTAGCTAATAGCTTTACCAGTATTTTAAAATACTACATATATAAAGACTAAAATAAACAATGGATAAAAATAATTTTTAGAATATACATCAAGAGATGAGTTTAAAAACATATCCCAAGGTGTTACTTTCCTTGGTGACAAAATAAAAAGACGAACATCTCTGCCACGACGTGTGTCGGCCTGGAGTTTCCCTACTCTGACACCGTTTGGTTACACATTTCTTGAAAAATTCTCAAACGCAGCTTTGAGCGATTTTTAAATACACACTAATACTGAATCCATTTGCATTTTTAACAGTTTAAGTTTTGATTGCGACTACTTGTTATAAATAACGATAGGATCCGATTACAGTTTTTAAAAATTAATAGTTTTCGGTTTTTCTTCTTCTCTACTAAAGGCCTTGCCTTGTCGTTGCAAATCTGGATCTCCATTCTTTTCTGTTAAAAGCCAGTCTTTTCATGTCTATGTATCGACTACAGTCAGCTTGTCTTATCATTTCTTCTATATATGTTTTCCTCGGTCTACCTCTA